GCCGAAGGTCCTGCGGCCGTGCATGGTAGGGCTTGAGATCAGGCGCTTCAACCTTGCGTTGGTGGATCCGGCGGCCTTCGAGCTGAGCCGCGAAGCTCAGGCGGTCGTAGATGACCTCGGTGACCTTTCACGCGCCGGTGTAGTGGTCGTGTGTGAGCTCTGGGTGGTGATTGTCCCCGTGGAGCGTGGCGGCCGGTTCCTTGACCAGTACGTAGTTTCCAACGGCGGTTTTGGCCCCAGGTGACTCCCGTGTGACTCGGGCGTTGTGGCGTTCCCGATGGCGGTTCTGAGCCTCGTGCCGGTAGGTGAAGGTTTGCCGAGGCATGCGTTGTTGTTCGGCCACAGTCCGTTCGAGTCCCTTGCCAAAAGAGTTGTCGTCCAGGGCTTGGATGACGACGTCGATGTGGGTGCATGGTTCCCGACCGAAGAGGATGCGCAAGGGGGACGCTCCGCCGGGAAGGGACGCGTCGGGCGTAACGCGGTGGATCCAGGTCGCCACGGGCACGAAATTGTGCCACCCCTTGGGCCACGCGGTGCACAGCTGGGACAGAGCCTCGTGCAGCCACCCCCCCAACCTCTGAATCGCCCCTTGGGCGCGGGGATGGTTGGCAGGGCCGTAGTTCAGCGGCACTTTCAGCCACCGGCAGAGGTGCTGCATCACCTCCGCAGTGAACTCGCTACCTGGGTCGCAGCGGATGATGAGCGGTAGGCCGAAGATGAGTAAGAGACCCAAGAGTTTGCGACTCACCCCAATGACTTCCTTGGACGGGAGCGGGAAGGCCGTGAGGAACTTGGAAGCCCGGTCGACCGCCGCGAGTAGGTAACGGTTGCCCTTGTCAGAAGTTACCTTGAGGTCCTGGATGTCCATTTCGAGCACCTCCCACGGCCGGAGAAGCCTCGCCGGCATCTTGAGTAGTTGCGTACTCAGGCACGCTTCTGCCGACGGCACTTGTGGGACAGCGCATAGGCTCGGATGTCCTTATTGTGGGACGGCCAGTGGTATTTTTGCTCAACTAGGAGGAGGGTGGTGCGTGCCGCTCCAGGGTCGTACGTAGCATGGACCAGCGTCAACACGGCGGGCACCAACTCTTTGGGGACCGCGATTGTGTACGCACGGCCACGCGGAGCGTGCCACAGCCGGTGGTCGTCGGCCAGGACGTAGTCGTCGTCCTCTACTTGTCCCGTTTCCAGGTCGGATCGGAGGCGTTGAAATGTTGGGTCTCGTTGCTGAGCCTCCACAAGTCGAGCAGTGTCGCGTAAGGTGTCCTCCAGGTGGAGAGACCTCGTCGTGGCTCCGGTGTGTCCAGCGGAGTGTTGTCGTCCAAGAGAGTCTCCTGTGGCATCGCTGGTGCCGGGGGTAGCGTCGACGGCTTTGGCGCGGTGGTGCCGGGCCTGAGGTAGGTGCTGCGGCAGCCTTGGGGTGCTGATCCAAGGGTTCCTCTGCACCTGGCTCCACGGCGTGTGGGACCCATGGTGGTCGGCGTGCAGGCTCCTTCTCACGGGGGCGGCCGCGGCCGCGGCGTTCGCCAGTTCCCGCCGTCTCCCGGAGTGACGGTGCGGCGGCGGGTGTCGGCGTCGGCCACGCGCTCGGCGGGCCATACCCCTCATGACCCGAGGGATCACGACGAAGCGCGACTTGTCGACGGTCGCAGCGTCAACGGTGGCGATGTCGTCGGTGGAGCATGTCCATAGGCTAGCCAGCGCGATGGCCAACTCATCGTCCATGCTGCCCCGTTGGTCGGCGTTCCGGTTGACGATGCCGTGGATGCCCAGTGCGCTGAAGGCTTCCCGTAGCATGGGGGGCATGGTGAACTCCTCAAGCGCCCGCGCAGCATCGATCGGTCGCACGCTTGGCGGAACGTCGAAGACCGTCTGGGACGTGGTGAGCTGCACAAACTCCTCCTGTGACAGGTCCTGTGCCTCGGCGAAGGGTCCGTCGTCGGCAGGGTGGGACTGGTACTCCGCCGGTCGGCGACCCATGATGCTCCCATGCGTGATGGTGGCGATAGGTTGCGCGAAGCTGAAGACTCCTTGTCGCCTGGAGGGCGCTTAAGGAAGAAGTGGCCCTCGTGTCCCAGTAGCTCACCAACAGTCGGCTTCGTGGCCACTCTCTGCTGTGGACGTAGCTTCCAGGGGGCCAGCTTCGCCGCGTAGATCTCGGGGATGACGCCGGGGTGCGACTTAATGGCCACGACGAAGACTCGGTGCTTCCCGGTGGGGACGCCAACATCCGTAGCATACAGAGTGTCATCCTCCACGGTTCACCGGCCCCGCTCCAAGCATGGTTGAAGGCGGTCGCGCCAGGCCGGGGTCCGCGAGAACCCCGCGGGGCACTGGAGTTGCGCACTCCATGAGCAGGAGTTGCGCTCGAGAAGCGGCGAAGGTCTAGGTGATTTCAGTCGCTTGGCGCGCGGCGGTCTCTCCCTGACTGTGAGCGTGGTATCGGCAGCAAGCATTGCCGACGACCTCCGGTCGCGCCTCCGCCAGTGTGTGCTTACGCCGCTCGCCTGAAAGGGGTGAGCGCGCAAGGTGGATTCCCTGGCTCCAGCTGTTGACACGAGCGCACTCCAACGTGATCCAATCCGGTTCGACTGCGGCCTTGATGTGTAGGAGGCCCAGGAGAGCCAACAATGCTCCACCAGCTCCGCAGCCGAGGATGACAACCCTTGACAATCTGGGAGCTAGGGCCGACCGCGTATCCTCGTAGTTTCGCAGTCGTTGCAGGTCACCGTCCTCCGGGGCCTCCGGCGTGAGCTAGCGTAGAAGACGGCCAGGCTCATCTCCGGCACATAGGAGGGTTCCGTGGGTCCTAGCGCGGCGAGAGAAACGCCGTCAAGCACCTGGGTCGTCATCTCGATCGGGTTGGATGTCTTCTACCGGTTCCAGCGGGGCCGGGTCTCCGTCTCTTTCCTCGGTGGGGGGCGCCAAGGTCCTGAGCGGCACACCATCCAGCACAGGTCCTGTGGGGCCTTGGTTCTCCACCGGGCTTGTGGTGTCGTCCGGGAACGCCGTTTTTACTGGTGGCTCCGGCGGTCCCTTGCAGCGGAGTCGCGATAGAGCGTCTGGGGCCGTGTATGATCCTCACCCTCACCCTTGCGCCATTGGAGGTCGATATCGTACTGCAATAGTCGCAGCGACCGCCGGTGCATCTTTGAGGACCGGTTCTGGCTCGTTAACAGCCGTGTCAGGGCAGCGCAATCGGTGATGAGGGTGAACCTCCGGTGCTGCAGGTAGGTGCGGAACTGCTCGATGCCGTACAGCACGTCAAGGACCTCACGGTCATTGGGGGAGAGCCTCTCCTCGGTCCGTGTGAACCGATGGCTGGCGTATCCCAGAGGGTCGTCGCGTCCGTCGACGGCCTGGGTGAGCACTGCCCCCGCTGCTCCTTCCAAGCACTTGCCCGGAGTTCGATTCTCCCTACGCTTACCATGTTCCATAGAAGGGCTAAACTACGCCTTCATCACCAGGCTATTAACTCTCACCTGGCGCAGATCATTAGCTATTCTCTGCGAGTTCGATTGTAGACACACGCCAAGCGTTCCGTGATCAACACAACAAGGGGGCAAGTAGCGGTACTCTAAAAAGTATGCATGCGGTTCCAACTCCGCCGATACTCCATTATCCCGTCAGGCATGCGTGGTCAGGTGTGGTTATCGCCCACAGTTGCGATAACAGGTCAGTATGTAGTGCTCAGATCGGGTTCGTTCACAAAGGTTTCGTGTTCACTTCCGGACGCTTCGGTCACTGACGGCTAGGTGCAACCCGTCAGTCGGAGGGACCGTTTCATCATCACGCGGGGAGTGGAATCAATAGCAATTATGGTTCCATTATTAACCCGACAGACGGCTACATCTATCTGTCGGAACCCCCCCTCCGGGTACTTATGGGTAATGTCCCAGTGCTGACCTATATCCTGGTTTCCACAGTGCCCATCATAGGGACGTGTACTACACCCGGACATACACTTGTTCCTTGCGTCACAAGTGCCCGTCATCACACTATTTAGAACCGGTGCATACGGCCGTCCAGAACATTAGCATTATCTTTATATACCGCGTTTAGTGTGCCATGTCACGTATACTGATACCGGTATTGTTTTTTTGTGCTACTGAAATCGCTCATGATGTATGTGATATCGTGTACTGTGTACTATTCAACAGAATACCTATAACAGCAGTCTTTATCAGTTGATACTGATATTTCTAACAACAAGTCCAAAAACGGCCTTCTCACGAAACACCGAGAACGTCACATTCCACATACCTGTAGCAACAATTATATCGGCAACATCATGTGCGGTCGGCCAACAACGCCATAGACGGGGTTGGGAATGCCTAAGACATGCTGACGGGGATCGTTAGGCACCACCACCCGGCGATGCAGCTGCTATAGGTAGATCAGCTAGCGCCTTTGACAGGACACGGATGAGAAACAAGGTTCACTCGATTCCCGCGATCAGATGGCAACCAAGCCGCAGATCGAATGCGTCAAGTTAGCCAATCAAACCTAAAAGGGACGGGGGCGGAAACCCGAAGAGTAGGACGGATGCCCGGGTCACTTCGAATAAAAATATCGAAAACAATATTTGATGAGTACGAGTAATAAGGGCGCCAATATTGTGGCCGACGTTCGGGGTGCCATGCACCAAGGTGACACACACGCAGTCGGCGCATGAAAGATCGATACTAAACCAAGCATTGAAACCGAGTTCGCCGAATTAGCGCCACTGGCGGGTTTAACGATCGATTTCCGACACCGCTGCATGTGATTCTTTGCCTCCCGGTCATTTTTTCACCTACTACCCGAGCGTTTGAAGTCCTTCAAAGGCCCTCTCCATGATCGTGTCTCTACCCTCAGGTGCCTCGGCCTGCTGGTGTCCAAAATGGGCTCCTGGCTCTACATTCTTGGCCGGTGTGTGTATCCGGGCGGAAAAGGTGATTCATAAAGTCGTATCCTACGCATAGATCATCCGAATAGGCTAGATACACCAGTGTTGGCTTTTATGCATGGGTGTCTTGGTACCCCGTTCTCTCCGACAGCAAGCCCGGGTCCCCCACCGCCGACTCCTCATCGTCTGGTACCAGCGCTTTCACGGTGTTTCCCCCTCTCCTCAGCGATCTCAGCAAGGCCGTCAGGCGCCTCGCAGCCCCGTAAGACGACACCACACTCGAAAGGCGCGATCGGAGACGGAACAACGCGTCGTCTATCCTGTCCCTGAGCGCTCGCCGGACCAGCAGCCACTTCGCGCTCCGGTGCCCGATGGCCGCCACCTGGACTGCGAACACCAGAGTGACGTAAGGCGGGATGTTTCTCGAGGCGTACACCTCCCCGAACCCGTAGTCCGACCGTACTTCCACTCGGGCCCTTTCACCGAGACTCATGTGGGACACCGCCACGTCTAGCCCTCTCAACACGGACCCCCTGGTGTGGTATAGAAACCGACAGTCGACGGTTCCGCGGACGAAATTCGCCCCGCTCTGCTCGTCCGTCAACCCCAGCTGGTACCACTGCATCCGAGAGCCGGTCATCGCGACTCCCATCAGCGCCTTCATCCCCCGCTTCACGTTCAGCACTCGCTTGTGCAGGCTCAACAGTCTGTGTCGCTGCCCCCAAATTCGCTGAAGAATGTTGCGGGCCACCGGTGTGTCTGCCCGGATCTGAAGGCGAGGGATGACCTTGGTTTCCAGCCATACGGATTTGCCGTCGTCCAAATACTCCACCAGAACACCTCGGCCCTCTTCCAAACGCTGGACGCTTGCTGCTCGTGGTCGAAAAGAAGTGCGCGGCAAGGGGACACACAAAATGTAGGGCAAGGAGGTAACTATCTCCGTCAACGCTTGTTTGCCTTTTGGGTTTCCGATTGGGACAGAAAATGAGTGTGTTTGAAAGAACGAATCTAACGCTGTTCTGGCATACGGGAGTGTGTATAGAGAGGTGTCCGTATGACCGACGGCACTTTTTGACGACTGAAGAGAGTGGGCCCCCGATGTCTAGGCCAAAATCAGCACGAAAAACACTACTGGAAGACGAAGAGGGGGGAGGGTCGGCGTGAATTAGATATGCAAAGTACTAAAGAAGGAAGACTTTAAGGGGTGGACCGGAATCACCATCTCACCGTCACGATAGCGAAAGGAGTCTCGGGTAGTCTTCTTCCCTTTTCTTGAAGCCCGCGGTTCGGCCTTGGGTGATGCTTCCTCGACTCGACTACCCCCTTCTTCGACACCAGCATTTGTTGTTTCTTTCGGCGCGTGATCTGCTGCCCCATTCTCCTTTGCCAACTGATCCTCCTCGTTCGTTTTAGACTCAAGAATTGTCTTGCGTTCGCGAGGTGCTCCCGGCGTCAGACTCTCGCTACCTATGGTGTTGCCAGCGTCGGTCTCATGCCCGACGGCATTGGAAACACCGACGGTGATCGTTGTTGCTATGTTGGTTGAAACGCCGCTTGTCTCGGCATCGCCCCTTGGCGCCACACTCACCGTATGGTCTGGCCCGGGAAGGAGGCCGCCAGCGTCGAGAGTGCTTTCGTTTTCGGTACGTACTTCAGTCTTCTCTCCGAGCTTTTCGACGTTGAGAGCATCGAAGCTTGCTTTGGTGTCATTCGAAGCCGGGTTGTCTTCGCCGCCGGACACTTGCGCATTCCGACATTCCGCATTCCGGCTTGCTCCCGGAACGATGCCACCGTCTACTTGTCGGTGTTCCCTCAGCGGCGGTTTTTCAATCTCCTCATTTTGTTTAGCTTCTTCGTGGTGTTTTTCTCCTTGGCGTCCTCCCTCCCTCGTGCAATCTTCATCGTCCATGCCATCTTCCAAGACTGCTGCTTCTACTGCTGCTGTTGTTGTCGCTGCTGCCTCTTCTACTGCCCTTGCTCCCTCTTGGTTACCGTCAGCTTCAGCCCATTGGTTCTTCTGCTCCTCCACGTTTGTTTGTGGTTCATCTTTGCATCTCGCAGCTTCCGCTCCCACGCTCAACACCTGGGCACGACCCTCCTCCACTTCTTTATTTTCTGCCGCCCCTTGACCCTCATGGAGTCGCCTCTGCGAATCTTTTTCCGCCTCAAGCGCTCCACCCTTCTTCTTTTTCTTGTGTCTTCTCTTCTTCTTAGTGGATGCCGTCTCCACAACCTCAACATCCTCGTGGACTGCTTCCGCGTCGTGCTGCTGGCTCTTGATGCGCGGGTCTTGGGGAACCCCGACGATCATTTTCCCGAGCCCCGCTTCGTCAAGCTCGTTCTCCTGAAACATCTGTACGAATTCGAAAATCTTCTCCATGTCTGCCTCTCCCATCGCCTGTTCGCCGGCATCTGCCCCCTCATCACCGTCCTTGCTCTCCACCAACTGCTTGATTTGCGATCCGGTCAGCTCAATCTGGCCCAGCACGTCATTGCTTCCGAACTGATCCCAGTCCAAACACACCACTCGCAGAGTGGACTTCTCGACAGAGTTGGGTCCATCTTTGTCGACTTTGAAGGCGAAGATCTCCAAATCCCATACGGGATCCAGGGTATCGTTGATGTAGGCGGTTTTGCCGACCAGTTCGTCATTCCAAAACACCTGGTCACCGACAATGTACGTGTGATAGGATCAAGGCTTGGTGTGACAGCGAAGAAATGCATCACGAAGGCGAGTCACGTGACGTTTTGCTATCCAAACCTTCTGTAACAGGTTATTACTAATTAGTAGGAGTTAAATACCTATTTCCGAAGGTCTTACGCAGAAGTAACCCAAGGGTTTGTCCGGTGTCACCGAGTCGTCGAGACCAAGGGGTTCGTGGATATCAGACACTGGGGTGAAATGCCACCGAGAATGAACTCTCGGCAGGGTACTTCAAGAAATCTTGACTTCAGCATAGTGAAGTCATCTGATCTGACGCTAATGTTGAATGTTGGGAAAAGTACAACAACAGCAGCGAAACACCCTACTTGTACCCCACTAGCCCGAAGCATTTAGTTCCGCCAGTCTGTGCACGATATTCTTGTTTCTTCTCCAATCGTCTCACCTCGCAGTATGGGTCACTCAAGCTGAACGGGTCCGCCTTTGGGACATTTTCGGCTTCCATGATGTGGACGTAGAGCTTGCTCCCGAGAAGAGCAACACGAATGCCGAGCTGTCCTCGACTCTGTTTTGGTTTCAAATCAAACGAGATGGCCTGATTCTCGTCTGCCTCACCGCTTCGTATTTGCCGCAAGATGGGAAGGATTTCGGCATCGCTGAGGGAAATTTGTCCCAGAAAATCATTCTTCGACAGGCGATCCCAGTCATAGAGCTCTATTCGGAGCTTTGGCAAGAGCGCACCGGCGTTGAAGAGCGCTGAAGAGCCCTCGCCACCGTCCAGCGCTGCCAAAAACTCTGCAGCAAGGGGTAGCACGAACGTTTGATTCGCCCACTTCGGGTTGAGAGTCATGTGCTTTGTGGTTGTGGCACCGACGAAGTTGTTTTTCCAGTACACGGCGCAGTAGGGGTCACTGGCACCCATGATGTCTGCTGCGGCTATCCCTGTGCACCCGCGAAGCTGGAGGTGGATGCACGGGCCGGAACAACCACTCTGAAACGTGAGCGGCTGTTTCGCGAGAAACGTGTCCTCTACCGCCACGTCCGACTCGTCCGTCGTCAAAATGTAGTCGAGGGTCACCCAGTCGTGCATCTTGGCAAACGTGACACCGTCGCCATCTGCAAGCGTTTGGACGGTGACAGGATCTCCTTGCACTATCGGGTGCGGCTTATGTCCTTCCTTCCCTTTCCTCTTCGTCAGGTGGTAGTCGAAGAAGCAGGGCTCGCAAAACGGTCGCGGATCACCAGTGTTTCCGCACTCGTAGCAGAGGAAAAACGCCGGGGTGCTGACTCCCCCCCGCAGGCATTGCTTGCACTGCATCGGAGAGTTGTCCTCATCGAACTCAAGCTGCTCCTCTAGAGATCGGTACCGCAGAGGATCTATCATGATGACAAACAAAACTACGGAAGAATTCCTCGCAACCAGTGATGCCCCAAAGCTCTCCCATTGGTATCAAGCTCCCGAGTGACGAATCTCTTGATGCAGCCCCATAAACAGGAGGTGTCTTCACGACCAACAACACGCGGCCTTACCAGCAGCAGACATTGTCGTATCCTCGTGTGAACAGATCTACGAAATCTACGGTTGGTTGCGAGCGGCGGAATTTCCCGAAACCTGTCCAATCTCGCCGCATTCCTTCGTGTACAACGTACAACCCGTGCGTTGTCAACGAACACATGTGTCGGTAACATGAGGTCTACAGCGGTTGGAGCGGTGTTGTGGGTACTCCTACTCGAGGCCACAGTTAGAAAAACGTGTGCTTATGTCGCTCGTGCTCCGCTTCCACGGTTTAGTCGAAGAGCGCGGCCGGTTCAGTCCCTCGAGATGGGAGCTACTTCCGGCCTGATCGAGGTACTGACTGAGGTGTATAGTACTGGCGGCTGCACAGGAGTCCATATGCATACGACACCAATAGTCTACACCCATAGCTTTTGCACTACATGTCATGTGTTTTATGCCACAGAGGGGATGTTTCGATGGATCACATGATCGCACATACTCAGATCAGTTGGATCATAACGTTTTTTCCGCACAGACACTAATTACTGCCGCCGTTGCTGCTGCCGTTTGCGTCATCGCGCGGGCGGAAAGACCACGGCATGCCAGGTGATGCGACTTGTACTTCGCAATGGCAGAGAGACGCACGTGTCCTGTTCTGTGGATAGCGACGCATTGGATCTGCTGCAAGGAAGACTCAGAGGGGCGTCCGTTCGGGGACGAGGCTGGGCGAGCCGATTGGGCTTAACTGCAAGGTACAGAACTGTATTTCCGTTCTCGATTCAACGCATGCATCGGAGAGGAGCTACACAGCAGGAATCACAGGAGAGCTGTTTGATCTCTATCCCCATCTCTCTATTCAGGGTGGCTAGCACAACGGCAGCAATGATGCTGCTGCGAAACGACTTCTTCAAAGTACATTGGCATCCTGTATCGTGGAACCAACTCTGCTCCTCCATTTCGTCGAGCCCTACACTACCCCTCTGGCATCCAGACTACTCTCTGTACAACCCACACGGCTGGCCTGGACAACGTAACATGCCGATTTCGTCCACAGTATGTAGAAACGTGACGTTATGTACAAGGTTTTTCTAAAAATGGAAGGGGAAGAGAGACCGCCAGAGAATAGTACGTTTATAGATATAGAGCCAAGTGTACATCAGCAGCTTTGAGAGCTATTGTAGTACAGTGTTATTGTATGTACAGTGTTATGGGTATTTGGAGCCTTAGACTAGGATATCATCTGGGCGATAGGCTTCGGTACAACACTGAGCAAGGTAAACACGCTTGCACATCGCTTGCTACTGCTAGTAACCATTGTGCCGCTACGTGCCTAAAGTCGGAATACTAGGAATCTGGGCAGGTGGTCGGGATATTTCTGAAATGCATACCCGCCCAGATGATATCTTAGTCTAAGGCTCCAAATACCGTAACAAAAGTATCTACTCCCGAAAGGACGTGATGAAGTTCCTCTACAGGCTGGCGGCGTCTCTTGGAGTGCTTGTGCTGTCGCTGGCAGTGGTGGTGGGGCACCCCGTTGGCGACATCCCAATCCTATCCGTGGTCAACTTTTCCTGGTGCCAAACGATTTGTAACATGATTGGCTAGCGCCTTCCGAAGGGCTAGAGGGCCAAATAGCTCTCTTCTGCGCTTCGGTCCATACCCAACAAGAGCCATTTCGCTCCTGAGAGGGTGTGCACGCACCCAGCAACACGATACTCGCACGTTTAGCAGGAAGCATGCCTGCGGTAGTTTCTACTGGTGCGGGATGTGGATGTACGTGGGCACTGCACCCCAAGGGCTCTGTTAGCGATCCGAAGCCCTGTTCTCCCCAACCCCCAACACGGTTTGCTTGCGCGTCCCATCTCTTCCCTACCGACGCGCTTCGCTCGCAGAAGCATCGACGTGGACGTGGGCATAGTCCGCCTTGACGTAGGTGCGCTGTTCCGGCATCGCGTCCTCCAGTTCGAACAACCCCCCCCCTCTGGAAACGCCATCGTCGTGTTCAGCGCCGAAGACTTCGGCAACTTTCTAGCTCACCCGCTTATTCGTCGAACAGTTGTGGCCGGCCGAAGCTTCGTGTTTGATCGGCAGGGGGTGGTTGTTGACCCGAGAAAGCGCACGGTGGCGTTTGGCGGGGTGTGGGGCGCCGAGAAGCTGCGCATCGAACTTAGCCAGGCAGCCGCCCGTGCACCTTTAGTGTCGGAAGTTGTCCGGAGTGTCGATGATGGCGACCATGATAGCGGTCTTACAGACGATGATGCCATTGCCTCTGACATGAGCGAATTCTTCAACAACCTTGAGGTAGACCTTGACGGCCCCAGGTTATCATTCTCTTCGTTGTCGTTTGAGGGTAGCGGGATTGAGGGTGGGAGAGTAAAGCTCGCCTTGGGAATTGTGGTGCGCAAGCTTCCAAGTATCCGAGCGGTAGCGTCCTTTTGATCATGTGTGGGTGGTGTGTAGTGTAGCTATGCGTATGTGTGACTCACCATCCTTCTTGCCCCTGTTCCCAATCCGAAAAGTGTCACCGCACTTACCTGTTTTTAATCCAGCAGCGACGGTGCTGTTGCCGAATACAGATTTTTTTTTTTCCCGATCGCGAGTATGTACCCAGCGCTTTTCGTACTTGCTTACGGTTTCAATGGCAATCCCGCCTCGGATTTTCCGATTATTGACTGCAGTACCAATAAATCACGAGGGGCAAAGCAACAACTTTGCGCCTATTAGTCCGCGTGCTCGACATGCAAGCAAACCTACCGGAACAAAGGTAACAACACCAAGTCAAGCAAGGCTGACGAAACCATGGGGAGGCCAATCTTACATACTTTGACGTACGCATATGTTCTTGCCGAATTGGCTTCTTGCTCGCTGAGCTTGTACAGCCCACGAGACAGTGAAACTTCCGTCCCATCCCCCGGAACACAATAAATATACCTTCTCTTCAACGATATCCCCACTCTGTTGTAGGCGATGCTGCCACCGCATGATGTACGTCTGGGTGTTGGCAGGCATTGCTTGTCACAGCTCCCACTTCAGAAAGATTAATCTCACAGAGCCGGAATTTAACGAGGCACGGAGGTGCCACCGACAAATGACACCCCGAAAAGACACGATGAAGTGTTTCAAGGGTCCACAAGCTCGACGATTCCCGAGCAAGCACATCCCTCTATCGGAACCGTCTCTGAGCAACAACGCACAGATTGACGTGTACGGTCTGCACACACACAGGCATTGTTCAGCGCTTGGACACCGCCGCCGCGCGGCCAAAGAACGACAGCATCGTCGCTCCTTTTCTAGGCGGCTCAGCCTTACCTCCCACCCCTAGCTTCGACTTCTTCCCTCGACCGCTTCCGCTTCCGCCACGCGAAAGCGGGCGCTTAGGGGCGGCGGGTGTGACCCCGGCGAACTCGGCCGCGGCAGACACGGTCCCGCTTGGGGCCGCCGCCGCCCGGCGCGCTCCACAATCTTTGTGATCTTCTCCCACCGCGTGCGCAGCGCCTCTAGTTGCGTTATCCTCTCCCCCTTCTTTCTGGGCACAAGCCGTCAGGCATCCCTTGCTCAGCCGAGACCACGCGTCTGGATCTCCTCCCCCATACGCCGTGGGACGCAGGGCATCGTCATCACCTCGCAACCGGGTATCGGCAGCCGTAAGCGCATCGGGTGTGTGGAAACTAGCGGCCATCGCACCTGCTGCGGCCGAACCCCCCGGCTTTCTTGCGAACGGGTTGGGGGCTGCAGTGGGCGTCGAAGAGCTATCAGCAACCCTTCCGCGGCGCCCAGGCGTTGGTCCGGATCCGCAGGCGAGAACGATCTCCGAAACGTCTTGCAAGCCCGGCGCCGGATATTGCGTCTTCTGCTGCGAGAACAAGTTTTCCTTCTCCTCTTCCGCCCTCGATCTCGCTCGCTCAAACATGTCCTTGAGCAGTCCGCCACCGCCACTACCACCGCGCTTGCCTGCCGAAGCCTGGGGTTCGCGGCCCCTCCGATCCCGACCCTGTTTCTGCCCCTGCTGGGTAGACGGACGCGCCCCCCGCGACTCATTTCGCTGGTTTTTCGACCAACTCGGTGTGGTTGTCGGCAAGGTGGCGCTCCGCGGGCGGTCAGAGGGTGCGATGCTCCGCCGCTGGCCGCTACAGCTGGGACGGGGTTGATGCGTTTCGGCACGCCGAACCCCCGCCGCCCCCGAAGCGGGAAACGTTTCGGCTGTGACGGCCTCTCCCGTGACCGGGTCTACGTTGCCGCGAGAGATGTTCACCATCATCTCGTCCTCGATGGGCTCCCTGGCAAGACGGACCGACACGTGGG